TGGTTCGCGATCAGGACTGGAGCTCTTATCCTCCACCATTTCATCCCTCATTTTCCAGAAGCGATTTAACTGACGCAATAATAGAAGGCAAAATTGCAGGAAGCGGAAGGACGAAGCAAGAAATTAGTGTAACAGTCGAAAAATCTCACAATCGACCTCCGGAAGTTGGAAAACTCGCGATCATCGGCGGAATAAAAACAATGGAGTCGGAGAAATTGATTCCGGTTGAGGTCGCCGCCGGTTTATTGGCTAGGTTTATTGGCGGCATGCGAGTAGCGGGAATCAGGGATTCGAATAACGGAATTAGCTCTTTCTCTGTTGTAAGATTGTTTTTATAGGCGGAAAATTCGGGTTCAACAAAATGGGCTCCGCTCCGCTTCAAATTTTTTCCGTCTCTGGAATCAATTTTATTCAATTACCCAATTTGCCCTCCGGATTTAGTAGGTAATAAATAATGTTTAAAATTTAAATCCTATTGAAGTTTTTTTTCTCTCTCTCTAAATTTTCATTTTAATTTTTTAATGTTTAAACTTAAAAATAAATTTTCATTTTAATTTTTTAATGTTTAAACTTAAAAGTTATATTTTAACTTTTTTATGCCTAATCTTTCGATTCTAAACATTTATTCGGTGAGAGAGGGATTTTTTTAAACATATAATTTTCTTAAAGTAAGACAAATTTGGAGGGGCATGCGGTGTGGAAAAAGAAAAAGAGAGGTGGAATACTATTAACTTTGAGTATGTACTTTTAAAAAAAAAAAAAAAAAACTTTAAGTATGTATTTTAACGTGCTCCCTTTTATATTAAATATAGAGATAATGTCTTAGTAGAACTATTTTAAAAATTTATTTACACAAATGTCTAAATTTTTCTAATTCAGGATTTTATTTTGATTCCGATTTTACCCTTATTTATTGCATTTACATCTATTATAGTTATTTGTTTTTTTTAAATATAAAAGATTTAATTCCATAAATTATTATCATAATCTTGTGGGTGTCATACTAATTTTTAAGACAATTCAAAACCTTAACTCATTTTCTCTTAATTCACTTCCACATTGTGCTCAATCTTCAAAGACAATTCAAAATGACAGAAACATCTTTTGAAGTCTCAATAAACATATATTAGCATATTCAGAAAAATATATTCAAAATCACAGTATATATCTACTTATATATCCGTATATATTCATTCAAAATCACTATAGTATATATCCGCATATATACAAGTTTAGTTATAAGATATATCTTAATCAAATAATTATACTATATATCCTCACATATACAATATTTCACACCAAATCAGAAATTGAAAACATCTGAATGCAAACCTTTCAATATGGAGATGAACTGTTCTGGGAGACTGAGAAAAGTGGAGGCAGTCGGAGATGAAGGCAAGCAAACGTCGGTCGGAGACGAAGACAAGCAGAAACGTCTGGAGAATAAGAACCGACGGAAATCTCTTTTCGAAGGCGGTCGGAGATGAAATGCTCTTGCGACAAAGAAAAGCGGAGCCAGCCGGAGAGGAAGGCAGACGGTCGGAGAAGAGGATTGGTTTAATTTGAAGAAAGAAAAATTCGTCTGGTACTAATTTGCGAATTGATTGTGTGATTTTGCCCTCTATTCTTAATGTTAAAATTACATTTCAAATTCTTCTTTTTGTGTTTATTTTAAAGTATGCTATGAACAGTTATATAATTTAATTTGGTCTTTATTCATTACCATATATACTATTTGATTAAAATTATTATTTATTAGATGTAGATGGTGTTAATGAAAATTTTTTTTACTAGGCGGATATATATACCTATATAGTTAACACATAAATTATTGTATCAATAAATTGATGATTTTAAAAACTAATAATAACTTAATTTGTTTTTAAAATAAAACATTCATGATAAAACTCACATAGGCGGATATAAAAAAAAAAAAAAATTAAAATACTAGTGTGATCTATGTATTTTCAAACTTTGTTTCATTTTTTATACTTTTAAAATGTTTTTTTTGGTTTATGTACTTTTAACTTCGTTCATTTTAATTTATGTACTTTAAAATTTTGATCTCTGAACTTTTAAAAAGGGACCATTTTGGTTCATTCATTTTATTTTAAGTCTGATTTTATCTATCACAATTTCAACACCACATTACAATCAATATATTTCTTAAAAGGTAAACATTACTTTATACTAAATAGTTTCCGTTATACATAAAATTTGCGTTAAAATGTGGTAAAGAGGGACTAGATCACTTTTTAAAAGTACATGGACCAAAATGAACATTTTCAAAATACAATAATTAAAATAAACTAAAGCTAAAAATACAGATATCAAAATAGTATTTTAATCTTTAAAAAAATTGACTTTGAAAAACAATTATCTATCTTGTAAAATTATGGAGCAACATGAGGCACCACGAGTCACGAACAATGAGAAAATACGAGATTTGAACAAAATATAAAATTAAAATCAAAATTTTGAAAATTGAAAAACACAATTTTAGAATTCAACATAAATTTTCACCAAAATCCACTAAAACTTCCACGCCAAATTATAGGTAGAAAATAGACACATGGGATATTGAGAATTAAACATATGGATAATGAGTCAACTTGACACTGGAAGACACTAAGCAAATAGAAGAAATTGACATATGAGTTAGGGTTATTTAGACATCTCATATCTTGACACGTTGGACATCTAATTTGGATAATGTTCATAATAATTTAAAGATTTGTTATTGACAAAATATTAAAAATCTCATAAAAATAGAAAAAAATACGGTGTAGTATGAAATTTTGAACACTAACTTTTACTTATTTATTTATTTTTTCTTTTGAGAAATTTGAACTTTAATTTTTGTTTACAAGAAGGTGTCATAACCTATTAATCACAGACATGTATCAATTACCACATTGAACTAATTCAAGTTGATTACCTCCTAGTATAAAAGATATTTAAGTTTTATCAATATAATAAGATTTAAACTAATTTATTTTGTATTTCTCAAAAAAAAAACTAATTTATTTTGTTAAGTACAACATTTAAACTTATTTAACTAATTAATGTATTAAACTAAATACATGGATAGAAATGGAAGTTCGCATAAAGAGGAAGCGTACAGAACACACGTGCGGACCAAAGTCAGTTACCATAAAAGATAAAGACAAATAAGGGATGAGTGGGGGTAGATATGTAAATTTGGTGTAGGAAAGGCAAACTTTACAGCTGGCTCGTTTAGAAGCATCCACGCATGCAAGTAAAGATATTTTCAGACCACACGTGTATTTTATCACTGCCGTCGATACCCGAGCAAAAACACACCATAAAGATTATAGAAAACAGAAGCCATGCAAACGTGGACGGAGAATTAAACAGATTTATTTTAGGTATAATTTTAAATATTATAAATTAATCTCCATAGTTTAATTTCAATTTAATTTGTATTTGGCTAACTGTATTAAAGTTTAAGACGGAGTAAGTTGGAGATCATGCAACAGGACATGTAGACCCAACAACTCAATTCGATATAAATCATATAAAATGGTCAACTTAAACTAACAAAAAGAGACTGAACTGAGATCAGAACTCAACATTTGATCTTTCATACCGACACGAGGACTTCTCCTCTAGGCCTGACAATCAATTTGGGAGCCCGTTGGTTGGAGTGGTTGCAACGGCTTTGTCCCATTGTCTATAAAAGAAACATTCTGTCTTTTTTCTTAGGACTGCAATTTTGTTCCTAGAACAACTTACCATAGCTCGCGTCTCTTCTAACTTAGAGTGCAGAGTGTTTGTTCCGTTTTGAAGGGTCGTAACTCGTTTTCGTTCTCACGTGACCAACCTTCAATAACTCGTACAATCGTAAATCAATCGAGTGAAAAATAAAATATAATTTAGAGACTAAATCCAAAACTTTATAATGAGATCAAATTAAAACAAAGTTTAGAGGGAGGGATTAATCAGAATTTTGAAATCATAGAAATTTGAAGATAACGGTGACGCCGTTGATTGAAACAACAATGAATGTGGTTCGTCGTATGCGAGGATAACGTAGGAGCACATGCATTGCATAATAGGTTTTCTTTTAATTAATATTTTGTTTTTATTTTTGGAAAAAACAAAATTGAGTTTGACTGAGTAGCTTTAATTATTTTCATGTCAGGTTAGTTGAGAGCTTTCACATAGTTCTGACAGTTTTTTACTATTTCAGAAAAAAGAAAGACAACGTTTTATTATCTCGCACCGAATAATGAAGATCTCCTCTCACTCAACATTTTTACTAAAAAAAGATGGAAAAAAAGGAAATTGAATTCCACGTCAATATAATTTTAAGAAGAATATTATATCAAGAATATAATGAAAAATTTTAGAATATTAGTTTTGATATATATTTTAGAGGTTAAATTACAATTTTAGTTCTCAAAGCTTTAAGTGGTATATAATAAGTCTTTAAATTAGCCCTATTCAATTTTATTTTTATTGGATCTTTGAAATTAGAATCTCCCAACAAAGGTACGTAAACTCAAAATTTGTTCTATGTCATAATTTATAGAAAAAATACATTGATTTCTTTTTATTTTCATTTAATTTTTACAAATTAATTAAACCACGTAAACAAATTTTAAAGTGGTTAAAACATATATATATATATTTAAATAAAAGATGGTAGGTTCAAACAATGTAATATAATTTTAAAATACGAAACTGACAGATGATTGTATTAGAACTTTGCACACATTTCTCAAAACATTCATATCTATTAATTCTTTGCATACTCGGTCAATCGTGCAATCTCGTCGAAAAGTGCCTTCTTAAATAACTTGTAAGAGTTATATACCAGGAAAAAAAAAGACATGCAATTTTTATAACGTGTTTGAATCACTTTTTTTTTTCTCCTCTTGAATTGATATAGGAATCAAGAAAGCTGACCTCCTACCATTTCGACAACCCCGCAAGAACCTAGTGTTTCAAATAAGAACATAAAATAACACATCTAATGGACGAAGATAATTTTCAATCGAAAGATAGTTTGGGGTTAACTAATCAATATCCATCTGATGACCACCTATAAAAATTTGACAACTTTTTAATTTTTTGATAAGCAGAAAAAAAAAGACTATTTCTTTGTGTCTCTCTCCTACTTCGGCAAAAGATATCGATAAATACCTAAATATTATTCTCTCCAATGGAGAGGCTCGTCCTTTCGAGATTTCAATAGGATTTTGATAGGCCCAAGATTAAGAAGGTATGTTCTAAAAAAGGGGCACTATGGGTATGACATAGTTGGGGAGGGCTATTGGAAAATGGGGGACCACTGTATGAAGGTTGAGGACAATGTGTTTTTTACACCTATTTACATCATGGGTATTGAGGTAAAGGGGCATCTTTTGACATTTTATCTACACTTAAATTGGAGAGGTTCTAGAGCCCTTTGTAGATTAGTAATCTTCCTCTAAATCATAAATAATAGAAGGATGTTCTATCAGATTTTAATTTTTATTTATTGTAAACCTTTTTCTTTTGTAATCTCTTTGCCTTTCATCCTCAATACAAGTTCCATTTCCTATAAAACAACAACAAAAAAAAAATCACCTATTTATAGAGATCATCTTATTTCTCTCTCCTACAAAAAAGAGTAAAAGATGAAACCAGCACCAGAATAGATGGAGCAAACATCTTCCATCAGTACGCTCTAAATGTTTCACTTTTCATTAACAATTGAACTCAGTCATATCTCATGTGGCAGATAAATATTATTCGACACGGTTGGACTAACTCTTGGTACAACGTGACCATTCATAGATCACGTGGTTTTCAATCACAGTCGTTTCTATCATTAACTGCATATAAAACGAATAGTTGTTCTCTATCTTACTTTGTTCTAGGGCTCTGAATTTATAAATCCAAAAGAGAAGCAAGGACTAATAACCCAATGATGTGATTTGGGAGTTCGTCCAATCCAGATACTAGCACAAGAGAGGGATTACCAGTAATCTATCCGCAAAAGTTGAGCTTCTTCATTACCTTGGCATAAGCTAATGGGACAGTGGCAGGTTGTCTCAGTCTACGTTTTGATTTCTTGGACTGCATTGAATTTAAAAAAAAAAAAAGTTAATTTCAAAGAGTTTGATATAACAATTTTTACAGATGTGCATTTTGTATTGGCTAAATAAGAACATAACAATGCCAACATAAAGTTGAAGCATGAACTGAGGTACCTGAGCATGAAGCATGCATAAAAAATCGAAATGGAACAGAATCAAGGGGCAAATTGCAAGGAGCATCGAACGTACAATGTCTTTAACAGAATCAAGGGTCGAAGAGCAAGGAGCATGGAATGCACAATGTCTTAATATTAATATCTTAGGTAGGTGACTACTAAAACTTGAATCTACATTCACAAGCGTTCTAAAAGTTTTTCATACACATGATTCCTGCCTCCACAAAATGCACAATGTCTTTTATCTTTTTAAAAGTTATATCTAGATACACAAGACTTTTCACGTGAGATATCATAAAGAAAAACCATAGGCAGCCCCATACAGAGAGAAACTGACAAGCAGGGGTATCACTCTGCTTCTTCCATTACTGATACGCAGTGAGCTAGCTAATAATCACTTCTAGGGATGGAGTCAGTGATGGACATATTGTGCTGGATGATAACTTTAGGAATAAAATGAAAACACTCAGTTTGCAAGCTTAAAGGAAGGATCATAGCATGTATTGACATCCAAAGTCTTAACTAAACAGAATAGGTTTATTGGCATCACAGGAAGTTAAGAGTTTAGCCTAAATTAACTTGTGTCATGGACTTCCAATAAATAGAAAAATGCAGTAGCATCACGACTGGGTTCATGGGAGCCAGATGGGAGAAATTTTCACGCTGTATATGACATACAGCTATATAGCTAATATTTGGACGTTACAAGCAGGATATGATTCTAATGCCTTTCTACAAAGAACACCACTTCAAGGAAAGGGAAAGTGAAAGTCCCCTATATGACATCCATGGTGTTCATCCTTCCACTACCAGCTCTTAATTGTGATTGTTGCTCTCTTCTATGAGGTCCTCTTTCATCTCCCTTTGGAGAAGGTTTACAGCAGGTTGCAATTTTTGGCGTTCTGCACAACATTCTATTGGAAAGGAATGGAAGGGCGTTTCGAAATAGGGAAGGATTCTTGGGAGGAAGTTTGGAGATTACTGATATTCATTCAAAAAATTCTCTTCAAATCACCTCACAAATAAAGAAACAAAAATTTCGAAATAAACCACCAATTGAATGTGCGCAACAATTTAAACATCCAAAGCTGGAAACTAAAAAGTTAGTTAAGCTGCATTGATATGAGCAAATATTCTGAAAAGCTATGTACATAATGAAGAATAGGCATAGCCAAAAGGGCAAATATATTTCTTTTGAGAAACCTTTCCGGAAACTTGAAAGAAGTCCCAGGATAAAAGGTTCAATCTTCTAATGCCTATGGCACAAGTCTAAACAAGAAAAGAACTTGGAGACTTTTGTGCATCGTATTCATATGTGAAATACAGAGGCTAATACTTGAAGATTACTAGCAGAAAGAAGCCAAAATTTCTAAAAGTAGCCAGAAATGTGCATCCAATGGTCGTAGCCTAAGAATGGGAGTTGTGGAATGAAAATGGAGAGTAATTTCTCAAAATCGTCTTGGAAAGCTAGTAGAAGATACACTAGATTAAGATGAAGGAAACAATATTCACAAAAGAAGATGCACTGCATTATCAATTAAAGAAGTGCTATAATTTAAACATCCAGGCTGAGAACTAAACTTAGCTTTATGTAATCAACAGGGGCATATATTACAATAATTTAAAGTACGTAACAAAAATAGCCAAAGTTCAGCTAATTTGTTTTCTAAAAACATTTGAAAAAATTTAAAAGTAACACCAGGATCCAAAGACTCAATCATTCTACTTCTGTGGTGCAACTCTAAACAATAAAAGAATGTATAATATACCAGGAAAGCAATTATTCCACGCATACTCAATTCACCTGGCATCGCTCATCTCTGCCCTCCAAATATTTACATTTATACGCTAGTATGATTCTAAACCAAGGAGCACATTTGATAAACAGAAAGACAAACCTTCAAATGTGCATTGTGCCTTTTCCCCTCCTTTCGACGTTTAATGCTCCCATCCTTCATCATCCAGAACCTAGACTTGTAAGAACTGATCGAAAACTTAAAAGTGTTATTTACTCACAAACTTGCAGGACAGAAATTATGAACAGCCAAAAAAGAAAAAAGAAATAGCAAAACCAATTACATGAACATACGAGTAAAATTTCATCTTAGTTTTCTTCAATTTGGAAGTGACTGGCGTCATCGGCTTTCTCCTCTTCCGTCGCTCTCTTGACGAAACATGCCGCACTTGAACAACCTTAATTCATTGTAATGGAACATCGTTTTATAGCAAATGGAGCAAACGGAATCAAAAGAAATAATAATATAGGCTTCACTGAGCCAAATTTTCCTAAATAATTCCTTTCATCAGCTAAAAATCAAGCGGTACCCCTACCTTCCAAGCATTCCTCGCTAATCCAAGATATAACTAGAAATTTCTCAATATACCAAACAAAATCAACGAGAGAATACGAAACTAGACTTACGGAGAGAGGTAGGGGTGAAGACCGAATACACTGGTAAGCCGCGAGCGAAGAGTGCGTCTGTAGAGATGCATTGAAAATGGACCTGGAACTCAAATTATTCGGAGCGAAATGGAGAGGCTGGTACAGTGATGGAGAAGAGTGAAAGATCCTGCGGGTGGAGGAAACGGAATGTACGAGTTGAGATGGTTTCGCCGCCGCAGATCGGAGCTTCGCGCACCACCGGAGCATCGTCGTCGTCGTCGTACTCCAACGGCGGTGGGAAATGGTTGAAAGAGAGAGAGAGACCTACGCTCGCGAAGGTTGGGGATGGCGCCTTCCATTTTTTCCACGAATTGGTAGCCCAAAGTCTTGGCCCAGACCCAAATGAATTGGGCCGACTACACATCTAAGCCCATTATATTGGATCACGAAAGGCCCAGAAAAGGCTGACTCATTATTCTATTTAACTGAAATATCTTGTTTTCTAAAATATTTATGAGCAAAACGGTCGGAACTTCTAAAAAATATGGCAGAAGATGACATATATGAGAGATAAATTTAAAATATTTATATATTTCTTAACCATACATCTAACCAATCGAAATCATTCACAATCACTACTACTGAAGAATCAATCTAAAAGTTAAATATTAATAATCCTTTTTACAAATCGACTGTGGTCTAACATTGCAGCGGTTGTGTTGGATAATTTTTTCAAGTAGGAGTTGTTATGGAGAACAAAAACGACCCGAAACGGGACAAGGAGTTGAAGTTTAAGATCATTGATTGGGGGAGACCGGCCCGTGACGTAACGGGCCGGCCCAAAGAACGACCTAATGCCGGGGAAAAAGAATGAGGAAAGCGACTGGCGGAGAACTAACCGGGCCGAGAGGGCTCGGTCTCGACCCGGGGCTCGGTCCAGACCCGGGGCTCGGCCCACGGCCCAGCCAACGATCCCCCATCTTCGATCGACGATTCCGCCCAGGCCCTACAACGGTGAATTAGGATTAGCTATGGAATGTTCTGGAACAACTCCACGTATAAGTAGCGATACAGCCTTAGAGGTAAGAGAGGCTAAGAAGTGGACTACATTTACCTTGTTCTCTTGCTAACTTAAGCATTGGAGCCCATGTGACTAGAGTCACACTGGTTTAGCTCGAATTGGTTTTGCAGGTACTAGGATCAACAAGTTTGGTGGGTGCGAGGAGAAGAACCTGAGGACCGAAATCCACGCATCAACAGGAGTCATGTAATTCATGCGTGATTTTTCCTATTGTTATCTAAATACTCCATATTTAAATAATGAATGTGATTTCTATGGTTTAAACATAATTTAAAATTTGTCCCTACTGTGAATCATCAATATTAAATATATGACATATCTTCATTTTTGTGACAATAAGTTGATTTTTCTTATTTGGATGGTTGAATTAAAATTTTGAATTTTGAAGAAAAAATATGAGAAAAGAACAAGCAGCATTCGACAAAAAATGGTTAAGCTAAATTAAGATTGGATTCAAACTCTAAAGAGTAAAGTGTGTTGACCATGCCTAAAATGGCGAAGTCAATCAAACTGGGTGGCTTGAAATTGATCTGATGGGTTGTGAATAGGGGAAAGACGCAATCTTGACTCGTACGGTTTGATCGACAAATAAAGTATGAGCTAATGTCGGCAACGTGCTGACATACAGTGCTTAAATCAGTATATGAGCTTAAGAGAAGAAGATAAATAATTAAAGTTGTTTGGAGTTGAAATTGTGTATCTTGAGTGGTTATGGTTCCTTATATTTATGACTCGTGGGAGAGGATTTCTTTCCCTCAAAGTAATGTCGGCCGCGCTCCTTTGGCGTGGAGAAAAGACGACCCGGTCATGTGGGCTACGCTCTCTTATGTTGAGAAACAGCAGTGCGACTACGTGAGTCACCCTCGCTGGAGAAGGGCTGTGCGGTCATAGAGGTAGCGCTTCCTTAGAGTGCGGCCGCGTGGGCAGAGGTCGCACTCCCTTAGAGTGGAGAAGAGTTGCATGGCCACAGGAGCTGCACTCCCTTACGTGAGAAAGGACGACGAACCTATGCCATCGAGGTGATAGGCTTGTGCAGAGCACTATCTAATACATCTTCGAGGGAAGATCTCAAGAAGTGTTGAGCGCATCTCCAACAGAAGACATTGAGAGGAGTTGACTCACTTCAAACAAAACGAAAAATTTAAAATTATATGAATCAAATTGAAATTATGTTTAATAGTCATACTTCAACTACTCAATACATGTCTTTCCGATCAAAATGTAAATTTCCGTACCTTAAAAAAAAATTTTGAAATGAGGTTTAATAAACAAAATTCATAACTGAACAAAAAACTATATTATAAACGCCACTCGCCGCCCACGTCCCCCGCGTGGAATACGTCCACGACCACTTCGGACTTCGGAGAGCCCGAAAAAAAGGGAAGGACATGTCTTAAATCCTAAACGACGTCGCATTCATTCACAAAATGGCCTTTTCGGCGATGCACCGTACCCAGCCACGTGACTCTACGAATATTCCTTTACCCGCGTACGCCGGTCGAATAATCCATGTTGGCATCCACGTGGCGCCCGGCGAGTATCATCTACGTCGCCTCCACAGTGAGCCTGCATCATCCGCATTATCCTCCGTCGGATAATAGACGTCGAGGAATCTAACGGTTGCCAATCCTGGAGATTTTGGTAAGAAAAGTGATCGGCGATTTCTATATTTCTTCTTTCCATTTGGATTTAGTGCCGCCTTCATATTCGTCGCCGTCCTTTGCTCCTTTTGCTTCCCCTCTCCCCCGCCATTGATGATTCCTTCAACTGCCTTTGTTTCCCATTGAAATCGAGCTGTTTTTGTGTTGAAATTATCTTATTCGGCTATTTCATTTGATTAACATCTTTGAATTTGAAGTGTGATTGATTGGATTGCGAGTATTTGTGTTGGGAAGAGGATCAAGGAGTAAAATCAGTAATCAAAGCCTCCTGAGTCCTGACCATTCGACTGCAAATGTCTATGTTGAGTAGAAGATCAAGAAGTAATCAGTGCAACTAGAGCCCTCCGCTTCCGGCGATTGATTTCGTTCGCTGGCTTTGTTTCCGATTGAAGTCGAGTTGTTTTTCTGGACTAAATTCGTCTGCTCTGCCTTATCTATTTAGTTAGCATCCTTGAATTTTGCGTTTGATTGGATTGCAAGTATCTGAAATTCGGCGTGGACAAGGGCAGGAGAGTAGGGGGAAAATGGAGAAGTTTCGATGAGTATAAGTTGCGATTCGCTGGAAAATGGAGCGGAATTACCCGTTTGAGAATGGAGTGATGATGACGAGAGACCCGAAGCCAAGGCTGAGATGGACTGCTGATCTTCACGATCGTTTTGTGGACGCGGTTACCAAGCTCGGTGGCCCTGAAAGTAAGTTCATGTTCATCATTCTTACAGTTTCGTTGTAATCTTCTTCTTTAAACTTACGTTGACGTGTTTGCAATATTTATTGTGCCCTTTTGAATGATTAACTTGAACAATAGCTCCATTAATAGTATTGTATTTTGTATCAAATATTTGTTTAACTTGGTCTGTGATCTAATATTGCTGAGAGATACTAATTATTTTCTAGGCAGGTCATTCCACCTATATCAGATATTTGTAAATGGCAGCTTTACTGTTAAATCGATGATGAGTATGTGGTTATTGTTATGGAAACGGAGTGGTGGTTAAATTATGCTTATGGGTAATAGGACATAATTTGGATTCACCTTGTCATTTTCTTTACAATCGCAATTTGAAACGAGTTCCTACCATGTGCTATATAATCAGTTAGAGCAGACTCAATGGTGTTGTCAACTGTCTATTCGGTAGTTCCTTTTCCTTTTGTCCCTTCCCCAGTCACCAATATGAAGAAAAATAAGTTCGAGCAGATAGAATTTGACTGATTTCTTAAATGCTTCTCTCGATGTCCCTGCTATTCACAGACGTGAGAAGCAGAATGAATAATTTTAATAGTCAAATTAAGAAAGCAAATTTTATGAACATAGTCCTACTTCAAACTTATAATATAGGATAACTAGCCTATATATCTGTGCTTTTTTTTTTCTTCTTCTTCTTCTTCTTCTTTCCTTGCAATGAATATTAGATTGGATTGTCTTTTTCAGAAGCAACTCCCAAGTCTGTGTTAAGATTGATGGGTTTAAAGGGCTTGACTCTGTACCACTTGAAGAGCCATTTGCAGGTAAGCATTGAAATCATTGCTCCATGATATCTCATTTATCTTGTTACGGCTTGGACAAAAAGATGTTATACTGACAAAAAAGGAATTGATCTTCAGAAGTATAGACTTGGACTACAAACAAGGAAGCAAAATGTGGCTGAGCAAAGGAATGAAAATAGTGGTAAGTCCGTTTGGATGTAGGACAACTCTCAAGGACCTCTTATCGACTGTATTTGCCAATTGTACCCTAAGGAGGTTAGGGTTATAAATTTCCCAAGTATATTTTACAAGCATTGGTGAACGTATTTAATATGTCTTTCCAAAATGTTTGACCTTTTTTTCGAAAGGCCAAATAGGTTATCTAGTATCTTTTCGTTGTGTTTTGATTCTCTTTCATGAGCTGAAATTACTAATCAAACAATTTGTTATTCTTCTGAACGTCAATATTTTTCTGACTCCATCTATATTTAATCTGTATATTTCCTCTTGTTTGCATCTAAGTGTTCAACTTTCAAAGGCTCAGTTATACATTTTAATAATATCTTTTTTCAGGGACTGATCTAAGGAATTTTACAGGAGTTAGGGAAGATGACAGGTTTGTCTAGTTGCATCTCATAAAAATAGAATGTTATTCTATATGTTCCAATTTTCTCTATTTTACAGTCATTCCATGGCTCCAAACGTATTTACATAAACATCTAAGTTAGTATGATACTGATTTCCTGATTCTCTCACCATGGATATGGAAATCTAATTGGTAGGAAGAACTAAGCTTCTTGGTCAAGTACATTTTGCTCAGAAGTTCTACTACTTAGTAGAACAAACGGAGGGAAACATTATTGAAAATGCTATTATATATTTGCTTTATGGTATCCCATTTTTTATATAATTTTTCAATGCACCTTGATTTTTGCTAATTAGTTAAATCAAACAGAGGGATGCAAATTGCTGAGGCACTAAAATCTCAGGTTGAAGTGCAGAAAACAATACTAGAACAACTCGAGGTACATCTTGCTTACTTCTTCTAATGACAACAAATTCAATCTCAAGTTTGTGATCAATTGTCTTTCTGTTGGCTATTGTAAAGACAGGTACAGAACAAATTACAAATGAGAATAGAGGCTCAAGGAAAATACTTGCAAGATATCTTAGAAAAAGCACAAAAAAGTCTCGCAGTTGCCATTAACAGTAACCTTGATAATCTTGAAAGCACAGGAATGCAGGTAATAAACTTTGACACGGCTCTGTCAGATCAAATGGAAAGTTTTAAGAAACAGGAAATGAGAGAAAGCACAGCAAACATAAGCGATACTTGTAAGAAGACCAATGATTCATCCATTCAGATTTGCAAAGTGGAGGCTGAAGAAGAAGATAGAAATGAGTTTAATGTTGAAAGGAATTTGATAATCTTTGACTTGAATTCCAAAGGTGGCTATGACTATGGTGGAAATGGAGCTGAAATACTCGAGGCCAAAGTGCTTCCTTGTTCAAGGTAATATTCGTTATATGAAGTACATGTAGATTTTGGGAGGGAGCAATAATTTTCATGTAGCTCATTCAAGATAAAATCATAAAAATAAAAACTAGAAATCTCGTTAAAATAAAAGCTAAAAATAAATAAACTAAAATTGCTCACCAAATTGTCAAATCAGAAATTTACCTTCCACGTACTAGCTCTTTTTCCCTTTCATTGAAGATACAATCAAAATTTTAAATTTCTCTAGAACTATTAGCATCATGGGAGACTTAGTGCTATGAACAAATAATCTTTGTTGATACGTTGAAGCTTGTTTGTTAGCCAACCTCTAAATTGATCTGAGATCAGTATTTTGGTGAGTTCACTTTTTTAAGAAACACTGCAAATTACTTCACGAGAAAAATGGACCAAATCCATATATTTTAGATGTGCTTTATTCTTTTTCATTTGAAAGATATCTGATCCAAAAAAGTACATCAATATATCTGTTGGAAAGGAAATCAAAGAAACAAAGAGTGCAATGGAAGTTGAAAGAGTACAATACAAATACTACGACTTTACTTGAACAAGATCAGTTCTATAGGTCGTACACAACTGTGTCCTTAGTTCTAAAGAGTAAGTACTGGTATCAAACTTGGGAAAACCAGGGAAGAAACCGGTGAGCTTGGTTTGCCTTTGAATGCAAACTTTACGTATTAAACTTGGTAATTAAGTGTTTTAATCACCTCTTTTTGTTTGGTGTGCTCATAAAAATATCTTCAGGTAATCATCCATGCGAGTGTAGTTCACTTCTGGATAAAGCTGTGAAGCTTCTTCTCCTCCTTCCCCAATTTCAAAGTTTGTCAAGCAACCTTCGAAGAAAATGTGGTAAAAATGTCCTAATCCAGCCTGCTGTGCTGAGTCCAGATCTGATGATTGAAGAATTTGACAAGGTTGGAATATCATAACAACTCTGATGATATTATTTACGTTTTATGTTTTTATTTTTTGTAGAATTGTAACGGTTCCTTATTTCTCATTTTTTATAATTTATAGAAGTCTTTGTTACTGTATACAAATTTGGTTTTATATGTTCTTTTGTTCCTTATTCTCCAAAACGCTAATGAAATTACTTTTCTTCTTTTTTTTTTTGGCTCATTTTTTACATATACGGTATAAAAGTTAATAATGGATTGAAATAAATATGTATTTTTAAATATAGTTGAAAGTTTTAAATTTTAGAAAAGTATCATAATCCGAAAAATACATAATAAAAAAAAGTTATAATTTATTTTCTTAATAATTTTTCTATTTAGGAGTTTTTTTCTAGTGAAACTGAAAAAATATATATACGTATATATACATATATATATTTTATATCGAAAAGAAAAGATTTAAAGAATAAGAAAATAAGAATGGGCACTCTTTTCCCTCTTGGAATGTAATATATAAGAAGTATATCACTGAATACTAGGAAACAACCTTAAAGCAAAAAAAAAAAAAAAAAGCCTGAAAACAGGTTAAAAGAAACGTTATCTTTACGGAAAATTATGATAGATAGACAAAACTTTTGTCGCACAGAAAAAAAAATTCTACCATTTTTCTATCTTTAATAAGATATGTCACTAGAGGGGAAAAAGGAAAAAAAAAATTATACATATATATATATATAACAATTATATATCTAATCTAAATATATTACTGGCATATCATTTATATATGTTTAATTCGTATAGTTTTAAAATGTCTATTTTAGTTTCTATACTTTCAGCTTTTATTCATTTTAGTTGTACTCTTGAAACGTTCGTTTTGATCTTTTACTTTTAAAATGTGATTATTTTGGTTCATTTATTTTCTCATTTATTTCAATAAAATTTTAGCATGATAGTTCAGTCACTAAATTTTTTGAGATGTAATCATAAATTTGTATTAAATAATTTCTAAGGTATATAAAGTTCGTACTAAAATTTTGTAAATGAGACCAACTTTTTAAACTTATTTCGTACAAAAATTTTGTAAATGAGACCAACTTTTTAAACTTATTTCATTAAAACGAATGCTTTAAAAATACAATGACTCAAAATGAATAAAATTGAAAATTGAAAGTCAAATCAAAATAAACATTTTAAAAATATATGTATAAAAAATGATCCAGGATCGAAATAATATTTAGATTTAAACTATTTTAATCCAAATAAAATATTAGACAGTTTGGCCGAGTGGTCTAAGTCGCCAGATATTTTTACAAATATTTTACCATGCAATAGATTTACAATTATTTAGTTACCTTTCATGGTGGCGAGAAAATCCTCAGCAGAAATAGTGTTCTTTTGCAGTTGTTTCCCGAAAAGTTTTTCCCACTTCCCAATCAACTCTGTTTGGGTGAGAATGTTGTGTGGAGGCCTAATGTAGAGCGTTTTGTTCAGAGTTCGTGGATCGTCTACTGCTTTGACGATGTATGATGCTACGTCATCTTCATCCACGTAGATCACTATAACATCATTAATTAAGTATCGATTATTTCTGTTGAACTTTTTCTTAGTACAACAATTTAAAAATATGAGAGATCAAATTTTCGACATTAAAGAAAAGAATACATGCTAATTTTCAACTGATGTTTATTTTTAAGTTGTATTTATTCCGTTTCTATATTTTGAAAGAAAAAGTATTAACCGAATATCTAATTTAAGCATAGTGATTAAGACAGGTAGAATGTTTCCATCCTCACTTTGGAATCCATGATATCTACCAACACGGACCCATCCCGTTTCCCACCAACTTTTTCCTTTTTTTTAAAAAAAATGTATATAGAGACTTAAAGAAAACCTATTCTTCTAACCTTATAATTCTTTACCCACCCTCTCTATATATATAAAAAGACAATTAAACCATGTGAATAGGAAATTTTTTTTTTTCATCGAGGATTGAACAATTAATTAGAAATTTATTTACAAGAATTATTTAATTGAGAAAATAATTTTAAAAAATAAATAAAGAGAATAATTGAATCCCGCCTCATAAACATCTCTATATATGCTTCGGTCGGAAATATTATTTAAACATTTTATATTATATATAATATACTTTGAAAATTGAAAAATAATAAAATGATGCATATTAATTTATATGTTAATTTGATGTGTGGTGGGTCACCTTTAACGTTGCCATCTCCATAAAGGGTAACTTGATGGGTGGGAGGGATAAGAGTCTGCATCTGAGACAGGTTACCGGCAAAGTAACCGGCAAAGCAATTTGCAGAGACGTAGGTGAAGGGAATTTTGGCTTCTTCTATCGCCTTTCTCACCGCCATTTTCTGGTCAAATGTCTCTCTTCCAGGTTCTAACGCATTTCCCATTCTTGCAGGATCTATCCCATACTCCGATGGAAAGAATCTCTACAAACAACAGCGATTCGATTTGTTAAGTAATGAATTCTGAAGTTTCAGAAATAATTTTAACCGATTTACGAGTTTAGTTAGTCGATTTGGTGATTCAGTGATTCGAAGAACAACTTCCGAGCAGAGAGACGAAAAGAGAGGAACTAAAAACCTTGATGTTTCCGGCGACTTTGATGGCCTCGATGAGCTTAAGCTGAACCAGAAGGCTATGGCTCCTGAAATGGACGCCTGAAATGGCCGAAATCACAACATCGACTCGCTTCACAGCGTCGACGAGGCTTTGGAAATCGGAGAAAGAAGCCGGCAGCAGCACCGCCCCCTGCCTCTTGAACGAAAGCAGGAGCTGCAATTTCTCGATGTCGAGTCCGATCTCCGGCCTCTGAATCACATACGTCTGGTGGCCCTGCGCCAGGCTCGCCGCGACGATCCTCTTCCCCAAATAACCAGTTCCTCCCACCACAAGAACTCTGCTCTTTCCGCTCATCGGATCCTCTCCAATTCGACCTCTCTGGACTCTGTTTCCTCATTCTCCACCGTCGATTTCTCCTTTTATAGCCTTCAATTCAACAGTTCTTCGCTCTCAAGTCTTGCTTCCCAGTTCAGAAATCAAAATGGCTTCCGCTTTTAGGTCAAAATGTGGCCCCCCTTCTTTCTTGTCTCCCTTTGAGCACACGTCTTATGGTTATAAGCATGACTTCTACACCGGGCCCCAATTCAATTTTATAACAATCCATAATTCTATGCATAAAAGTTGTAAGTATAGAATTCAAATTTACTTTCTGTAAGTAAAGGATTTAAAATGAGCCAAAAATAAAAAATATAACTATTAGAATAATCTCAAACTTGTTCTTTGAATTACAAATTTAAACTAAAAAAATATCAAAATTTAAATTTTTGCAAGGTAAACTTGAGACCTACGTGGCTATTTTAGAACACTTTGGGAATCATTATTAGAGACGGATAGAAATGGAGGAGTTGTACCCAATGCAATAAAGAAGGAAAAAAAATGTGCAGTATATATTTTTGGTACAGAGATTGAGGTGAATCAAGTCTTGACACAATTATTAATGTCAGGGAAGGTATGGATCACCTTTTAATTGAAAATAAGTGTCTTAATCAGTTTTAGTTAAACTCAAAATTGCTTCTATTTTAAAATAAACATATTTGGTAATGAATCATTAATAATTTTTTTAAAAAAATTCAAGAATTGCTAGAGAGTGGAGGGTGATTCTTTAAGTGATTTTGGTAAAAAAAAAATATATATATGTGTGGTGGGAATTGAACTCACAACCTCTTGGTCAGAGATATATGTCAATTAATGTTTAGCTATACTCGCTTTTCTCATATTATAGATCAGTTAATCCAACATATAAGAACTTTAAATTTATGAAGCAATTATTTTTGCTAAGAAGTGGGACTTATATTTAATAACTGCATCTAGATTTATCCTGAAATCTTATCCTTGTTTTTACCAATACTTTTGAAAAAACATACAAACTCTAAAATTATTTTTAGAAAAGTCCCTACCTACTACCAAAGTTTCTTTGACCAACACAACACACATGACACAACAAATTCAATATCCAAAGTTTAATGTTTATGCATCTTTCTTTGTTTAATAAAATTGTTTTAATTTATTTGGTCACCTAACAATCTCTAGAAATAACAACCAAAGTCACCTTTCTAAAAGGAAGAAAGGCTTAGAAGACAATGGAGCCCTTGACATTTCTTACACTTGAGGTTTACCTTTTTGAGTCATATCCCAACAACCACATGTATGATCCAAATATTTTTTTCAAAAAATTTATTCCTTTAAATTGTAAGCAAAGTATATAAGAGCAAGCTTCAACCTATATAAAATTTAGGTGCATAATACTATAGAATAAAAAGTAGAACATAAGTCAATATATCAGTCATTATTTTGATTATGTTAAAAAAAATTCAATTATTATTTAAGTTAATCACTAATCTATACTAAAAAGTTAAAAGGCTTCAAATATCCTTATAATTTTTTTATCAACTTGATCGAACATGATTTAAATAGTTCAAGTATATATTCTTAACCAAAAGTCTAAAGTTCAAATTCTCAACTCCCGAAGTTATTAAGCTAGATCAAATCAATTAACAAATATGAGTTTTAAAACAAAGATTTAAAAAAATTGAGGATAAAATTTACAAAATAGTTATAGTTTAGAGGTGAAAACAGTAATTTAATTTTTCCCATAAAACAATACATGGCCAATATTAATTGGTCAATAGCTTAATCTTCTAGAAGTTCATAGATTGATGGCCTCATTAATATGCAAACTTGGACATTATTAGATTTTTATTTATTTTCCCCCTTATTACACATTATCTCACACTTGCTCTTACATGATTGGACCTTTTTTTTGTCTTATAAAAATTGATGGGTCTTCACAAAGGAAAAGGAACCATTTTCTTTCATGTTGTCATTTCTTCTGATTGCAAAAGTCTAAAATGTATTGAAATAAAGCAGTAAATTTCTTAATCTTTTATGTAATACTAGTGTGCTTTTTAACTTAATTAATTTTATAAAAATAATAATAAACAAAGGAAAAAAAATTATATATATATATATATGTATCTCATACAAACTTCATAAACTTCATAAACATATATACATTATTTTCTATTAAGGATTTGGCTTAGTATTTTGTCTGTTTTTAATTTCAAGTTTTCTATAAATTTTAAACTTATCGTTAAGGTTCAATTCAACTAAATTCATAATGTCTGTTGATTTCACCATGTCCACTCTTTTAAGATTAGTATCTTATTATTGCAAGATAAACATACCTAACTTGAGAATCAAACTATAACATCCGAAATCTATAATTCATAATATAGATTGACTCATGTATCACATTCCTTTGCATACACCATCGTAAATTATTTTGAGTTTATGGATATTGGAAAAATGAAGGAAATGAGAGAATAAAAATAGACAAAATAAAACAGGACTCCTATTATGGATAGAACAATGGGGAAGAACTATTTTTCATAATAAGAGAATTAAATAGTAACAAAATAAAATCAAATCCCAACTCTACACTTATCTTTTACGTACATCAAACTTCATAAAATTGTAAAACGGTAATGTCGCAAGCCTGGTATTCAAGGTAAATAAATTTGGCATGTGCATCCTTTGCAACTTGATTAATATACCACCAACATCTTGAGATGTTTTCGAGATTTAATAATCTTTGAGAGATGTTTTGAGAAAACTAAAAATAAAGAAGTAGTGAAAAATGTTGTGAGAAAAACCTATTTTTATAGTAGTAGACAGTAGAAAGGGATTTTTTTAATATTATTATATATTAAATTTATTTTAAAAATATTGTTATTTAATTAAAAATATTTGAAATAGGGTAGTTTATGAATTTTTTTTTTTAAAAATATGGTTGTTTTAAAAAACCAAAGGATGGTCGATCATTCCACGTGGTCGTCTCTTGAAAAGACGACCATGCAACGTGGCGCCACGCCGAGCGTCACGTTGCATGTTGGTCTAGTTTGACCAATTTTTGAAAGAGACGACCACCTT